TTCCCTTATATTTGACTCATATTGACTTATGTGTTTTCTACACGTTGCAGACCATTTTAGAATTTCTTATGTTTTTCTTTATTTTGGGGTGTCGGAAATAGACAACTTTTGGCCATAACTCCTGACCCCGATGACCTATGACCTTGACCTTTGGGGTCAGAGGTCATGACCTCCCCTGGAAGTTTTTGACCTAGTCACAATGCTATGCTCTCCAGGGGTCAAAGGTTATGACCTCTCAAAGTTTTTTCCCTATACTTTGTGCAGTAACCTTTGACCCCCTGACCCTTGACCCCTAGGGAGCCTAACCTTGTGACCCCGCCAACAGTTGCGGGGGGTCATGACCTTTGACCTCAGGGGTCACCGACTTTATACTCTGAGGTCGGCCTTACAGAAGATCCCTTAACTCTAACCCTAACCCTAACCCTAACCCTAACCCTAACCCTAACCCTAACCCTAACCCTAACCCCTAACCCTAACCCCTAACCCTAACCCCTAACCCCTAACCCCTAACCCTAACCCTAACCCTAACCCTAACCCTAACCCTAACCCTAAACCCTAACCCTATTTCTAATTGTTTTTCTGTGTTCTTAGGGTTCTTATGTTTTTCTTTGTTCTTAGGGTTCTTATGTTTTTCTTTGTTATTAGGGTTTGGGTTAGTTTTTTCTTTTTTTAATGAATTTCTTATGTTTTTCCGGATATTTTTGAATATCTGATATTTTTGAATTTCTTATGGTTTTTTTTATTTAGGGTGTCGGAAATAGACGGATATTTTATAGAGTTAGGGCTACGGTGTCGGAAATAGAGGGATTTGGCATAGGGATGGGGCTAGCTGTCGGAAATAGACGGATATTACATAGGGGTAGGGCTAGGGTGTCGGAAATAGTGAGATTTGGCATAGGGATGGGGCTAGCTGTCGGAAATAGACGGATATTACATAGGAGTAGGGCTAGGGTGTCGGAAATAGAGGGATTAGCTATAGGGGTAGGGTTATACGCTGTAATGTAGGGTAAAATCGCCCGAAATAGTGTTAAACCGTCTCGAATAGGGTAAATACGGTCGAATCAGGGAAAAGGGGGTTAGGGTAGTCTTTTAACGGTCCAAATAACACTATCATATCGTCAAATAGGGTCAAAAACTGGGTATCCGTGCCTATAGGTACGGTCCTGCAGACTGCCCAAAACGCATAACTCGGGACCAGGGTGCCAACTCGTCCCTAATGCTCTAATACATCCCAAATACTCGTGTGCATCCAGTATTTCCATTGATATGTGTACAAAGTCGAATTGCCATAGGGTTTGTGCACAAGCCCTTGCCCTATGCGTTAACGCATATACACACTAGAAAAAACGACAAAGTACTAACCCATTCCCTTATATTTGACTCATATTGACTTATGTGTTTTCTACACGTTGCAGACCATTTTAGAATTTCTTATGTTTTTCTTTATTTTGGGGTGTCGGAAATAGACAACTTTTGGCCATAACTCCTGACCCCGATGACCTATGACCTTGACCTTTGGGGTCAGAGGTCATGACCTCCCCTGGAAGTTTTTGACCTAGTCACAATGCTATGCTCTCCA